TAGACAAGGTGTTCTGGAGCACGTCCTGTGGTGACTTCCTTCTGTGGTACGAGGCTGTACCCAGGCACAAACCTTATACACTTCCTTCTCCCTTCCCTTATGCCCACCCATCTCTTGTTCTAAAGGTTACAGACACTCTTTAATATAACCAGGAATACTCAGCTGAGAATGGTTTGTTTTTATATTGTATAGGATTCTTTTTTGTAATCTGCATCTATAATTATAACATTCCTATAGTTACAATGTCTCTGTGTGTGGTTTTTTTCATGAAAGTAAATGTTTATTACACTCGAATCTTTTTTTTTTTTAATATATTTTTATTGATTTCAGAGAGGAAGGGAGAGAAACATTAATGATGAGAGAGAATCATTGATCGGCTGCCTCCTGCTCGCCCCACACTGGGGATCGAATCCACAACCCGGCCATGTGCCCTTGACTGGAGTCGAACCCGTGACCCTTCTGTCCACAGACCGACGCTCTAGCCACTGTGCCAAACCAGCTAGGGCTACACTTGAATCTTTTAAACAATAAGAGTTACCCTTGGCTGTTCTGGGATAAAGTAGGCCCCTGTGCATCTTGTGTTGTTTCTGACAGTGTGCATTGTGTAAGCCAGGGAGCTGAATTTCTGGAGTATGTGTTTTCAGATGATGTGGGCAAGTGGAGATGGTGGTCTGTAAGTGTTTTCAGTATATGTAACGTTTAATGACAACTGCCTGGCTATTGGGGAAGGAAGAAGTAAGGACACAATGAATTTGCCCATTTCCAGCAGTGGTGGGTGGTCTGGCTCATGCCTGCCTGTGAGCTTGTAGGGTGAGCACCAGTATCGCCACTTTGAAAAGGGAAATAGAAATTGGGGCTAGGAAAGAACCTTTGTACAGTGTTCCCCCAGATTCACATTGACAGAAAAGCCACACGAAGAGTTGGTCAGCTAAAGGGAGGGCAGTTTCTGTTGTCTGGTGAACTATGAATGGTCGGGGTTGGAGAGGCACAGAGTGGTCCTGCCTGGTGGTCGGTGGCCTTACCCCGCTAATCCCCTCCATTACCAGCCCAATAACATGAAAGAGGCTTTCAAATGTAAAAGATTCAGAAGTCTGGTACTTGGTACGTACTGTACATGCAGTTTCGTTTTTGTATAAGGGAATGTTTCTGGCCAAAATCAAGTCATAGAGAGGCTTTCCAAACTAGGATGTGGATCTGTATGTTTTCATAATAGACCTACTTAGGTCAGTAGGCTCCCCTTTGCAGATTATTTTCATTGTTGAAAATGATTTCTCCCCATTGCTTTGGTAGCCAGATCAGATTTTCAGCTAAATTTCTGCTGATAAAGAATAAGGAAAATTTTTCTAGTGAATGGGATCAGTAATGTTGACATTTTAACTGTGGGTCTGTAGTCACTTCACTCCTATATATTTACTCCCAGAGCACAGAGAACCATGTACACAAGTGAGCCTCCTGTCTTTGTGTGGTCTCTCCATGTGGTTTTTTCCAGCAAGCTGGCTGGGCTTCCTACCTGGCAGCTCAGGACTCCCACAGTGCTAAGAGAATGGAAGTGGGCATTGTTAGAGTTCTGAAAGGCTAGGCCTGGTACTGGGCTAGCACCACTTCTGCTGCATTCCACCAGTGGGTATGTGTGGTCACAGGATGCCCAAATGAGTGAAGGGACTACATGAGCCACATGAAGGTGGGAACACTGAGTAGCTACCAGCTTTGGTGTCAGTGTCCGGTGTATAAAATGAGTTATTTGTTCCTTTGCCTATTTTAAATAGAAATGTAATAGCTTTAATAATGATAGAGCCATCTGGGTATGAACCTTGGGGATAGATGTTGATCATTGTTATGTATTTTTTCCAGTGTTAAAAGAACTGTGCATTGTTGGCATAACCCCACTGGATTTATTAAAATTTTGTTTATAATTTTTGTATCTATGTTCATGAGGGATATTGGTCTGAAATGTTCTTTTCTTGTCATGTCTATGAGTAACCCTGTCATGTAATGAGCTAGGAAATATTTCTTCCTCTTCAATTTTTTTGAAGAGTTCCGTAGACTTGATATTATGTCTTCCATAAATGCTTACTAGAATTCACATTTAATACATCTGGGCCTGGAGTTTCTTTGTAGGAAGGTTAACCACAATTTCAATTTCTATAATAGATACAGGGCTATTCAGCTTATTTTTCTAATTGATCATTTCACCTGCTCCATTATGTCTAAGTTATTGAATTAGTGCTGTTTATAATATTGTCATAGATTTTTGTAATGATGTCCCTCCCATCCTGTTGGTACATTTTTTTTTCTCTTTATCATGATCATCCAGAACCAACCTTTGGCTTCATTGGCTTTTTCCGTTTTTTGTTTTGTTTTCTGTTGCAGGGACCAACAAACTTTTTCTGTATCTTAGACTTTGTAGGCCAGAGTCTCATGGTTGCTGCTGTAGCACAAAAGCAGGCAGAGACAATACATACACGAATGGGTGTAGTTGTGCCAAACTTTATAAAAACAGGCTCCAGGGCTGGGCTTGACCTATAAGCATGTAGTTTGCCAACCCCGGTTCGTCTGTTCCTTAACTTCTACTGTGATCTTCATTATTTCCTTTCTTCTGATTACTTTGGGTTTAACTTGCTCTTCTTCTTTCAGTTATTTAAGGTGGAAGTTGAAGTCATTAATTTTGAGATCTTGCTTCTTTTCTAATACAAGTATTTAGTGCTATGAATTTTCCCTTAAGTAATGCTCCACCCCACAAAGTTTAGTATGTTGCATTTTTATTTTTATTCAGTTTGAAATATTTTCTGACTTTTATTTCTTCTTTGCTTTGTGTGTTATTTATCAGTGTGTTATTCATTTCTCAAATATTTAGGGATTTTCAAGATATCGTTCTGGGCTTGATTTCTAATTTAATTTCATTGTGGTGAGAGAACATAGTTTATATGACTTGAATCCTTTTCATTTTTTGAGACTTGTTTCAAGGCCCAGAATTTGGTCTAGTTTGGTAAATGTTCCAGGTGCACTTCTGCTATTGTTGGCTATTGGGTTCTATAAACATCAGTTGGTTATTAGTGTTATTCAGGTGTATTAGATTAAATCTCCTTGTTACTCCAGTCCCAGCCAGAAGCCCAAAGTGAATGAAGACGTGTATCCTTTGAATTTGGTTTTGTTTTAATTGATTTCAGAGAGGAAGGGAGAAGGAGAAAGAGATAGAAACATCAATGATGAGAGAGAATAATTTATCAGCTGCCTCCTGCACGCCCCCTACCGAGGATCCAGCCCACAACCCGACATGTGCTCTGACCAGGAATTGAACCATGACCTCCTAATAATTATTCATGGGTCAACACTCAAAAACTGACCCACACCAGCTGGGCTAGCCTGAGTTTTGACCAATGTATACATCCATGTAACCCAAACTATATTGAGACTTGCTGGGGTGTTTTTTTTAAATATATTTTTTATTGATTTCAGAGAGAAAGAGAGGAGAGAGGGATAGAAACATCAATGATAAGAGAGAATCATTGATCGGCTGCCTCCTGCACACCCACACCGGGAATCAGATTGTGACCTCCTGGTTCATAGGTCAACACTCAACCACTAAGCCATGCCGGTCAGGCGAGACTTGATATTTTAATAACTGGTAGAACTAATTCCCACTCATTGTTTTTTTTCCCCCCCAGTATCTCAGATTATTTGTTTACCTAGTTGTACATATAAACTGTAGAACTGCCCAATTCTGGACAAAGAGTTGATTGGGCAGTTTGTATTTTTATTGGGAATATGTTACATTAATCAGTTAATGTTGTTGAGTCTTCCTATCTAAGAACTGAGCTTTCCACTTATTCCAGTCTTTGGGTCTTTCCTTTAAGGTTTTTCACGTACGTATAGTAAATATACAGATAGAAGAGGATGGGGCACAATAGCTGCAAGACAGCGGTTACTTCCAGGAAGGGAGGATGAAATATAGCAGAATGGGTTTTTTTTATTTGTTTTAAATATTTTATATGATTTCAGAGAGGAAGGAAGAGGGAGAGATAGAAACATCAATGATGAGAGAAAATCATTGATCAGCTGCCTCCTGCATGCTCCCTACTGGGGATTGAGCCTGCAACCCAGGCATTTGCCCTTGACTGGAATCAAACCTGGGACACCTTTTGTTCCCAGGCCAACGCTCTATCCACTGAGCCAAACCGGCTAGGGCTAGCAGAATGTTTTTTTTAGTGCATCTTGTTGATGGGCACAGGAATGTTTCTTATAAAAACTATTTTTCTGCTCTAGGCAGTTTTGCTCAGGATAAAGCATCAGCCAGTATTTGATTCCTGTCAAGGGCATATACCTCGGTTGCAGGCTCAATCCCTGGCCCTGGTCGGGAGTGTGTGTGGGAGGCAACCAATCGATGTGTATCTCTCACATCCATGTTTTTCTCTCTCGTTTCTCCCCCTCCCTCCCACTCTCTCTCTAAAAATCAATGGAAAAAATATTCTTGAGTGAGGATTAACAAAAAAAAAAAAAAAAACACATCTATTTTTCTGTATGTTTGAGATATTTAAAAATTTAAGCCCGGGTTTAATTGGTTGGAGCATTACACCAAAAAGGTTGTGGGTTAAACTCAAGGTCAGGTGCGTATGGGAGGCAACTGATCCTTGTTTCTCTTTCACACTGATGTTTCTCTCTCTCTCTCAAAATTAATAAATATATCCTTGGATGAAGATTTAAAAAATTGGCCCTGGCCAGTGTGATCAGTGGTTAGAGCACTGTCCCGTGCACTGAAGGGTCTCGTGTTCCATTCTGGGTCTAGGGCACGTACCTGGGTTGAGGGTTCGCTCCCTGGTGCCTATGGGAGGCAACCAATTGATGTTTCCCTCTCTTCCTCTGCTCTCCTCCCTCCCTCCCTCCTTCCTTCCTTCCTTCCCTCCCTCCCTCCCTTCTATTCTCTCTGAAAAAGCAATGGGGAAAAATATCTTTCGGCGAGAACTAACAAACAAAGAAAATTAAAAACAAACTTAGAAGTTGAATCAATTTTAATAGAAAAATTTATTGCAAATAGTGACTCTTCATATTACAGTAGTTTATTCTGATAAACCAAATGACCATAATTTGTGTATTTTGGATATAAAACTATACTTTTTTAAAACTATATAATACATTTTCCAGTGTGATGACATTTCAAGGAGGAAAAGATTGCATTCACAATAAATATCATTATCCCTGAGCACATAGACTTAAAATAAGCATTGTCCAAACACCTTTCCATTGTGCAGCGGTCCCTAAACAAGGGTTTTCCCTCCTTTGTCCCTTATCACTGGGTGACAGTCACAGAGAGTGAAGCCTTTCTGGAATGTTTGTACAGACTCACCATTAAGGATACTAATGATTTAAACCCAAAGCAGTCACAGTGGAATGGTGAAACTGTGCAAAGCTCTAATTTTGCACTTTAATCTCTGCAGCCAAAGTCAAAAGCACAACATTGAAATTGCTTTTGCTTTATCATTGTGTTTTAGTCATTCTTTGCTGAGAGCCCCCATGATCTGATTTCACCAGTGACTAAGCACAATTGGAAATTACCTTGGACTAATAAAGGTGTAGTCTTTTCCAGCATGTCTGTTTCCCCAGCATCTGGCTCATATGTCCAGGGGTGCATGGCCAATGAACCATAGAAAATTATGGCATCACAGTGGCTTAAGTTTAAAAGACGCTCTTTCAAAATGAATTTCAGAAAAACAAGCAGTCTAGACAGAGAAGGATGCTGAAGTTATTCTACAGATGAGTTTGTTGAGAGCTCTTACTTTTTCTTCCAAGATTCGGTTTTCTTTCTCAGCCCCTCGTTGCTTCTCTTCAGTGACCTGAAGTGCTTTCATCAGGTGAGCATTTTCCACATAGAGCTCCTTGAGCAGCAAATCGGATTTTGTGTTCTTCTCAAACTAGAGAGGGAAGAAAGCCATACTTTATTGTGAATCTAGTGCAGAAATGCTATACAACCCTTTTACTCTTCCATCTTTATTCAAACCATATTTTGGGATTCTTACAGATCTGATACAAACATTGGATGTCATAACAATTTTTGTTATCTTGGCATGAGACAGGAAATTGAGAATCTGAGGAACTATGTGGTAGAGAACATTTAAGTCAACTTTATCAAAGATTTTTACCATGAAATCACATGAAAGGCCAAAATCATAGGTCTCAAAAAGAACTATTCCAGGCAATGTAAAACAAGGAAACTGTCAAGAGTGCCAAAAACGTGTTGTTCATCCAAGTGTGCTCCGTAAGCCCATCCTGTCACCCAGGTCACTGAGGCACTGCACTCACCCTCACAGACCGGTGCAGTCACCACACACAACAGCCACAGGGACACGAGGCCTCTAGTCATGAATCCTTGTTCAAGATACAAAGGCATGGACGTCCTGACCTTGTGCTTCTTAAGTCAACACTGAAATCATTCATTCACAGAGCACCCCTCATTGCCAGGCACTGCCCTAGCAACAACCCTTCTCTCATGGAGCACACATTCTAGTGGACAGAGACAGATCAGAAACACATGTAGTGTGTCAGGTGGTGAGAAGTGCTAAGAGGAAACCCAGACAGCTGAGGAGGGTTCCGTTTTGGTTAGGGAGAGCAGAGTGTGTCTCTGGGTGACATTTGAACAGGTCTGAATAAGGCACAGGAGTAAGTCCCGAGGCTGGCTAGGCCTGAACATTCCAGGCAGCGGGAGGAATAAGTACGAAGAGCCAGAGGGTGCATGCTGTGGGTGACAGGATGGCCAGCAGGCCTGTGACGAGGGCATGGTGGCAGGAGGCCTAAGGAGAAGAAACCACCTACCAGGCTGCCTGTGCAGGGCACAGATCCTGCAGAACCTTTGAGGTACTGTAAAAGCTCTGCCCTTTACTCAGGGACCTGGGAAAACAAGGGTTCCCAGCAGAGGAGGGCCAGCGCCTCAGCCACATTTGGTGAGGACTGTTGCTGCTCCGGGGCTGGTAACAGATTCGAGGAGGAAATAAGACATGCCAGTCAGGACGCCAAAGATGAGGGTGAGAGCAGTGGGGGCGGGGCTGTCTCCACTCGGAAGGCGGAACTGGTGGACTAGATGGAGACAGGGTGGGTGGGGGGAGGAGCCCACTGCACCCCAAGGGTTTGGGTTTAAGTCAATGGCAAGTGAACCAAGACAACTCTTTGAAGGTATTTCTGTGAAGAGCAGAGAACTGGTCAGATCAAGCCTCCGAAGGTTTGTGTTGGGTGGCAGCCAGGGCCCCAGAGGAAGGAGATGGGGTGGTCCAGGCAAGGTGACACAGGCCAGGTCTAGGTGTGCATGGCCCGAGTACAGTGCACATTCGCTTTGGGCACTTGGGGTCTCCCAGGGACAGCTGCGAGGAGAGAGAAGAGGTGTTGGAGGTCAGAAGGGAGGGCAAGGGCTCAGAGTGCTAGCAAGCCAGGAGGTGTGGGCAGCGCTGGTGGGCAAAAGCCCCAAGATTAAACTAGAACTGGTTTTGCCAGGTGAGGAAGCACACAGTGTGCAAATGAGTGACTATAAGGGGAGTCAGACTCTGACACTGGGAGGAAAAGTGAGGACCAGGGAGAGTGAGGGTTAGTGGGTGGCAGAGCAAAGCCAGGAGGTTAGACAAGGAGGGGGACGGGCCTCCAAGAGTGACTCAGCCTGGGAACTTTCCACGAAGATTCAGGAACAAGAGGTGACACAAATGTTTCATGGGCTCAGGAGCTCTCAGATAAACATACTTGATTACTATGTAATACAAATGTTTCTACAGATTCTCACATTTCTCGTAGCTTCTTCTAGCACTACAAAAGAACTTTCGGGAGTAGCTGGCATTTGCCTTTGCATCTCTTCACCTTCTAGCCTTGCCTCCCCTCTCAACACTCCCTGTGCAAGTATGTTCCACTGATTTAACTGCTGGCTGGGCGAGATTGTAAATGCTCAGGGCAGCTGTGATCTTCTTGTTTTTTTCTGTAGCAGCCCAGGTTATCTCCCCGCCCCCAATGGTGATTGTTAAAAAAATATAGATCAGCCTGGCTGGCATGGCTTGGTGGTTGAGCATTGGCCTATGAACCGGGAGGTTGCGGTTCAATTCCCAGTCAGAGCACATGCCCTGGTTGCAGGCTCAGTCCCCAGTGTGGGGCATGCAGGAGGCAGCCCATCAATGACTCTCTCATCATTGATGTTTCTATCTCTTTCTCCCTCTCCCTTCTTAAAAAAAGAAAAAAAAAAAAAAAATATATATATATAGATCAGATCATGTTCTTAATTAAACTCTTCCAATAGCTTCTAATTATCTATACTATATAATAAAAACCCAGTGACCAGTAAGGCAGAACGACTGCTCAACCAGTCACTATGAGGTACATTAACCACCTCTCAGTCCCTTTCCCCAGGCGGCAGGCTCTGATCGCCTGATGGCAAATGGGTGGTGGGGGATGCAGGTAGCGCCAGGCCAAGGCCCCCACCCCGCCAGTTGCCCCACACACAGAGGGCGACCCACGGTGGGGGTGGGGCCAGTGAACGGGCAGGAACAGCCAACCTCGGTCCCTCTCCCTGGCTGTCAGGCTCTGATCGCCCGATGGCGAATGGGGAACCGGGTGGCAGCCAGGGAAGATGGCCCTGATCGCAGGCTAGGCCTAGGGACCGTACCCGCGCACAAATTTCGTGCGCCAGGCCTCTAGTCTATATATATAAAAGCCTAAGTGACCGTTACGACTAAATGACCATAACGACTGGTCGATCAGTCACTATGATGCACACTGACCACCAGGGAGCAGATGCTCAACACAGGAGCTTCCCCCTGGTGGTCAGTGTGCTCCCACAGCCAATCTCCCATGGCCAGCCAACCGCCCTTGGTCCCTACCCCCTCCACCCCACCCCCGCCAGCCGGCCCCCATCGACCCCTGGTGCTAAACCATTCATAGACGACCTGCTTCTGGGTTGGGGTTTCATATGTAGCAGAACAGCTCCCTTGTTGCAATCTATTGAAAGTCAGCCCTCACCACAAGGGTTTGTCTTGCTCCCGTGGTCTCCCTTCCCCGGGGGCTGCCCGCCCACCATGGTGGCATCGCGGTGGTGAGGAAAGGAGGGGGGATGGCAGGGAACCGTGCAGTGGTGGGGCGGCATCGGCATCCATTCCTTCCGCGCCCGGCTCAGCAACCATCACCTCCTCCCCCGACTCCGCCAGGGCCTTCAGGCCCCAGGCTGGGTCGGGGAACCAGGGATGGGTGGCAGCGGATGCAGCCCCTTTCCCAGGGGGGCGCCGAGGGCCAGCTCCCTCCTTGGAGCTGGCAACCAAGCCAACCTCCCTCGGTCCTTCCCCCCACACCCCTGCTGCAGGAATTCATGCATTGGGCCTCTAGTAATTAGAATAAAATCTGAACTACTGACTTTGATGGGACCCTGCCTACTTGCTCCTGCCCATCAGTTCACACCAGCTACAATGACTCCTCCCTTCCCATGCCTGGTCCCATCTAAGGACATTTACCTGCACTGCTCCCTCTGTGGAATGCACCTTGTTGGGGATCTACATGTCCCCCACCACATGTGGAGACTGTCCCAGTGATTGGAGGTGCTATTGGCATTTAGCACTATAATGCACAAGACAGTCCCACCCACTACGCATTCTCCCTTCTAAAATGCCAACCTGGCCTCTGTTGAACGGGCAGGAACAGCCAACCTCGGTCCCTCTCCCTGGCTGTCAGGCTCTGATCGCCCGATGGCGAATGGGGAACCGGGTGGCAGCCAGGGAAGATGGCCCTGATCGCAGGCTAGACCTTGGGGGACACAGCTGAAAAATATTTGTACAATCAGATTCTAAAAATGAAATTTAGGCAGATCCCCAGATTCATTGGTTCCAAGTGAACACCGATAAAAAGAAAAAAAAAATGTTCTGAAAGAGGATAGTGGCATGTACTGACAGAAGCCCCTCACTCACCTGCTCTCCCAGCTCACCCACTTTTTCTTGCAGGAGCATTTCCATGTTCTTCAAAATCATTTCCACCTCTTCCACCTGCTCTTCTGTATCTTTAAGCTGCTTTTTATGTTCTTCCTGCCACAAAAGAAGGTTACACACCAATATTTTACATTTTAAAAAGAATCATCTCAGGCTTATTTATGAGTGGAAATTAGCTAAAATGTACAAATATGAGAGTGACTATTGATAACCTTTCATCTGTATAGAGTAAGTTAAAAAAAATGTTCTGTCACAAACCACAAAACTGTTATTTCTTTTTATAGTTCAAGAATTAGCAGACCTCCCTATCTGGTTTCACTCAGTGGACAGAGTGTCGGCCTGTAGCCTGAAGGGTCCCGGGTTCGATTCCGGTCAAGGGCACATGCCCAGTAGAGTGCATGAGGCAGCCAATCAATGTTTCCTCTCCCTCTCCCTTCCTCTCTGAAATCAATAGAAGTATATTAAAAAAAGAAGAAGAAGAATTAGCAGACTAAGTATTCCTAAAGAATTTCTGATCAAAATTCCTTTTTTTGTCATTAATCTATTATAATTTATCATTATCTCTAGCTGAACACTTTTGCATAATGCTGAAAGGTTATTTGATGTAGAATTTATGCTTTACAAACATTAAATTTTACCCACCTTTCAAGTCTTGCTCTAATTTTTGCCCTCTGGTTCCTGATCTCCACATCCCTCCTGCCTTGAACTTTTCCACATGAACTGTGTTACTCAGGATCAGGTTACTTTCTCAGGCTTTTAAATGAAACACTTACACAGGGGCACACGTTCCACAGACAATTCAAGCACTTTAGAAGTGCTAACGCATCGATGCTTCACAATAATGCTTTGAGGCTGGTATCAGAATTTTACAGATGAGGAAACTGGAGCACAGAAAGGTTAAGTAACTGGCCCAAGGTTACTCAGCTGGGAGGTGGGGGAGCCACAGTCCCAATCTCCGCAGGCAATGCTGAGCCACTGTGTCCTGCTGGCCTTTAAGGCAGTGACCCTCTTTCTGCATCTCTAGTGCCTGGCACACAGCAGGCTCCTCAGGTCAATCCTGTTACCTGGCTGACCTCTTGTCCCACTGCCATCCTCCTCCCACCCTCCCTCCAATCCTTGCTATTCTTTTTTTTTTAATCCTCACGAGTTTTTTTTCCATTGATTTTTTTTAGAAAGAGAGTGGAAGGGAGGGAGGATTGGGAGAGAAAGAGAAACATTGATGTGAGACACATGAATTGGTTGCCTCCCACACAAACCCCCACTGTGTCCGGGAACCAAACCTGCAACCTTTCGGTCTGAGGGCCGATGTTCTAACCACTGAGAAAACCAGCCACGGTGACCTTGCTGTTCTTAAACATGCCAAATACATACCCACCTCAGGGCCATTTCACGTGTTGTCCCACTGCCTACAGTCCTCTTTCCCCAGGTAACTGGATGGCTTGCTGCCTCAACAACTTCAGACGTTGGCTCAAGAACCACCTTCTCTAGCTATCCTATTTAAGATTGCAAGACCCCCCACTCCACCGCATTCACCACCATCTGACGTGCTATCCACATGATTCATTTTTTTATTTTTGGGCTCCCTACCACCACTATAATTTGGCTCCAGATTTTTGCCTTGTGTGTCATTCCTGTATCTCCAATACCTAGATCAGTGTGTACCCAATAAGTAACTTCTGTATTCCTTATGTGCCTTTGGGTGGATTTTCTTTTCCGTCTGCATAAAAGTTTAAGATTGTTTTTTTAATTAGGTGCATCATTTGGAAACGGAGTGTTTATATGAAAATCTAGTTTTTAGCTTTTCTTTGAAATCAGGAGCACTGAAATGCAGAAGCTACACAGCTGAGGAGCAGCACCCACTGCCTCTCCTCTCCACCTTTCAGGCCCTGTAAGCATTCGTGTGGGGCCCCTAACGGTTAGCCATGGGCCTACCGCAGCCTCTGCAGCCTATAAGGACAGACTGCAGCTGAGAGGAACTAGGCCCCCAGGCTGAAGAGACCTTCAGGATCAGCTCACTCAGTGCCTCCTAGAGAGGCTCTCTGCACCTCTCACCACCCTGGTCCTTCCTCAGCATCTGTTAAGAGTCCTCATTATTCACAGTGGAAATTGGGGTCCCACAGCTTCTGTACAACCAGTTCTCATGGAGGTAGGATGGCTGTTGGGCCATCTTCCCCTTGGCACTAGGACAGTTTTAGGCTGAGTGACCCATGATCCAACCTCTCCCTCCCCTTCACCATCAGCTGGAACCTCAGGGCTCTTGTTCCCACTCACCCGCTGTCGCCTCCCTTCCTCCTGCTGGAGGCTGCACTCCTGGCAGAGCTGCTGAGCTGCCCGCTGCTCCCATTCCAGCAGCTGCCGCAGCTCTGCCATGCAGCCCACAGGCACGCTCTGCTCCGTCTGCTTCTGCAGCTGGTGGACGTCCTGCAAGGGCTGCTCAGGGCTCAGGTTGGCTCCGTGCAGCTGTACCAGGGAAAAGGCCACAACAGTTTTGGTGTGACTGCTGAGAGTTACAGGGTCACTGCCAGACACGAAGGACTGTTTAAGGACACCCTACAACTGGAAGCACAAGAAAGGCATCTGCTCTCCTTTGTGGTCCCTGCATCTGCAGCAAAATGCAGAATTTGTAAAGGGCCTATTCATTGGAATTCTGACAGCAAAACTCCCAGGTAGCCAGAGCTGCACAGTGAGAGGAAAAGTTGTGCCTGCAATCTTCAGAATGACGCTGAGACTTCACACTGGATCCACGGGAGATCACGGTATATGCTGTCCAGTTCTACCATCCAGCATGCCTCACTGGAGCCTGATTCTTTAAACACTATATAACCCACGCAATCCAGACATGGTAATAATCTAAGAGGAGAATTTACACTTCTGAGACCCGCTGAGGCCAGGGTCACAGGGTAAGTAGCACACAATGAGAGCAGAAGGAAACTTGGCAGCAGCTGTGGGATGAAGCTCCCCAGCCACAGAGGACTGCCCAGAATTCATGGAGTTATGCTGAGTCCTCATGATTGAACTGCATATCATGTGGCCAGTGTTTTCACTAAGCAAGCGGGAGTTCAGATCCAAACACCATTTACTAGTAATTCACTCTGGCCCTGGGGGCTTCATCTAGAATATGCACCATTCCCTTGGCCCCTAAAAGAACTGGCCACAGCAGCCCTCATGCACCTCTGAGGCTCTATCAAATGTCACACTCAGGAGGGTATCTTTGCTCGCCTGATATATGTCATCAGTTTGGCTCAAAGACACTCTTACAAAAATTTCAAAAATGTCACACTTAGGGCAGGTCTCAAAGCGGCCACGTGGCCAGAGAGAAAGGGCGGGTGCCACCCAAGAGTGAGCAGCTGCAAACCTCCAGCCCAGGTTCCTCTCAACAGTCACTGCTCACCTCACATCTCTGGAGGGCCACCTGAGGGACCACATCATCACTGACACACAGCAGTTCTAGGACAGCAGTCATCCCAGAGAGAGGCCCTGGTGCACGCTTCCTTTGAACACACTGCCTTACCCTCCTCACTGCCGCCTTTACAGCCACCCCGTTCTCTGAATTGGTGCCTGACATGGACCTTTACTGCGGGGAGAGCAGGGGAGTCCCTGCAGCGTTACTTTGCGACTATCTACACGGGCAACTAGCCCATAAGCATCCACAAGCTGAATTCTGTCCAGTCCTTTTCACCTCCCTCTTCATGGAAGTGAGACGCAGATGGAGCTGGCCAGCTCCGGAGCGCACAGGCGGCTCTTTCTCCTCGTTGAGAATTGGGCTCTGAGCCTCTCCCTCATTCACAGGTGGGGACTGTGCCGTCACCCACTGACAGGTGGGCTCTGAGCCCTCCCCTCGAATCCAGGCTGGACCAACAGAATGTTGGATCTGGTCAGCATGTTTTTAAAAAAACAGCACGGGACCTCCCTTGGCCTCATGAAGCTCTGCTCTGGCTCCTTGGTTCTATAAAGGGCACCAAAGACATGCTCCCTGAGAGACAGCTCTTCACACGGCTGCTCAAGGTCACCCAACTCTGGACTAGGCTTGACTTCAGTCCTGGGCCTGGTAAGTGCCCCACTGGCTGTGCAATCTCAGGCCGACCCGAAAACTTCTCTGGGATGGATTAGTCCTAGCAACGTTCTGTCAGACTGACTGCATTGACTCTCCTTCCCAGACGGACCCAGCGTCTCAGGCCATCACGTACACCTTCCCAGAGGGGACCCAGCATCTCAGGCCATCACGTGCACCTTCCCAGGCAGATCCAGCATCTCAGGCCATCACGTACACCTTCCCAGATGGGACCCAGTGTCTCAGACCATCACATACACCTTCCCAGACAGGACCCAGCATCTCAGGCCATCACATACACCTTCCCATACAGGACCCAGCGTCTCAGACCATCACACGGACCTTCCCAGACGGACCCAGCCTCTCAGACCATCACACGACCTTCCCAGACAGGACCCAGCGTCTCAGACCATCACATGGACCTTCCCAGACAGACCCAGCGTCTCAGGCCATCACATACACCTTCCCAGATGGACCCAGCGTCTCAGGTCATCACATACACCTTCCCAGATGGACCCAGCGTCTCAGGCCAGCACATGGACCTTCCCAGAAGGGACCCAGTGTCTCAGGCCAGCACATGGACCTTCCCAGAAGGGACCCAGTGTCTCATGCCAGCACATGGACCTTCCCAGATGGGACCCAGCGTCTCAGGCCAGCACATACACCTTCCCAGCAGGACCCAGCGTCTCAGGCCAGCACATGGACCTTCCCAGAAGGGCCCCAGCGTCTCAGGCCAGCAGGTACACCCACCTGGTTTCGACTTTCCTCAAGGGTCTCTCTCAGTTGTGACCATGACAGTCTCAGGCTCTGGCATTCCTGATTTATGAGTTCAAGTTCAAGTTCGAGTTTTTTAATTTGGTCACCCTGTTTTAAAAATAATCAACCTCCTGAGTGTAAGCAATAGCAATTTGATACATGTTTAATGTAGAAATGTCAGAATATTACAGAAGGACAGAAATTGCAAAATTTAAACCACCCATGCTCCCAGCAGCCCAGAACCCCACCTGACATTGCGCTGTCATCCTCTACACACAGCATTTTTACCATAAGACTGGTACAGTGTCATTTGCTGTGCTTTTCTCATTATAGCTTTCATTTTCTCACGACATTAGATATTATTTGAAAACATGGATTTTAACAGCTTTCAGTTAAATTTACTGACTCATTCAGTAAACTGTTGATGGATGATTCAAGTAGATTCCAATTCTGTTTTGCTATTACAAATACCACAGCAACGAAAACACTTCCAGCTCAGTCTTTCCACAATACTCCAGTGAAATGCCCATAAGAATCATGAAGTCAGAGGATACTGACATTCTTGAGGCTCTTGATACATTGTTTGCCCAACTGCCCTCTGGAGAGGCTGACAATTTTACTCTTTTACCATCAGAATGTAACTCCTTTCTGCTGCCTGGGGACTTGCAAAAGCTGCTGAAGTCCACATAGTTCCCAGGGCTTGCCTGCTAGGTGCCTTACTCTCACCTGCGGGGCAGTGCCTACCTCTTGGCACGTTAGGGCTGCCTCTCCTATGTGCCTGCCCCTCTCTACCCCACTGACCTGGCCAGTACTCACCTGCACCTCCTCCCTGCGTCCAGCCTCCTCCAATCTCTGTGTTAACAGCTGAATGGTGATGCCATTGTTCTCAATGTGGGCCTGCTGGCTAGAGGCCTCCTCTCCGAGCTGAAGGACCCTGTGGTTGAGCTGAAGCAATTCATCATTGCATTTCTGACTCTAGAACAAAAGGGATGAAATAGATGAAAAAGTTATTTTTTTTTTAACCAACAGCTCAATTCAGATCATTTCAGTGATTCTCAACCAGGAATGCTTTTGTTTCCCAGGGGACATTTATAATGTCTTGAGACATTTTTTGTTACCACCTGTGGTAAGAGGACTGCTACTGGCAGCTAGTGGGTGAGGTACTCAGCACCCTGCAATGCAGAGAATGATCTAGCCAGTGCACGCACAGGAAACTCCTCTACCCCTAGGAAAAAGGAGCCACATCTGGAAAACCAGAGGTGGTTATTTGCCATGAAGATCCAAACCACTGTTCTGAAGACCTTTCACATTTTTCCCATTTCTTCCAGTTATTTCTAACATTATTTTAAGCAATTTGAAGGAAAAACCCTAAATGAAATTTATAAATCTCCTCAAAATACCCTCTGATCTTTTTCATTAAACACATAAATGCAGCTTTTAGTAGGGTATAGGAATTGATTAAACTGTGTGTTTTGCTTTTTCTAAATAACCACCACCCAGCAGATAGTGGGTGCTGAACATAGTTCATTGGATGGATGTGCAAATGCACTGAATTGAAACAGCAACTAGGAAGTCCCGCCTTCAGAGTGGGTTAGGGGATGAGGTAGGTAGGCAAGGAGAAGGTGGGTATGGTTATAAAAACATGAAGTGTCTTTGTGGAATTGGAACTATTTGGTATCTTGACTGGTGGTGGATATATGGACCTACACAGGGGATAAAATTGTGTAGAATTTAATACACACACACACACACACAAGTATAGAAGTAAAACTGGTGGAATCAGAATGTGACCCATGGATTGTATCAATGTCAATAGATTGGTTGTGATATTTGTAATAGGCTGATTTGTGTCCTCCCAAAATTCCTATGTTGAAGCCACAATTCTCAGTACCTCAGAATGTAACTGTACTATATTTAGAAATTGGGTCTTTAGCGCGACCAGCATGGCTCAGGGGTTGAGCACTGACCTATGAGCCAGATCACGGTTTGAGCCCCGGTCAGGGCACATGCCCGGGTTGTGGGCTCAATCCCCAGTGTAGGGCGTGCAGAGGCAGCCGATCAATGATTCTCTCATCATTGATCTTTCTGTCTCTCTCTCCCTCTCCCTTTTTCTCTGACATCAAAAATAAGTATTTTTAGCCCTAACCATTTTGGTTCAGTGGATAGAGTGTCAGCCTGTGGACTGAAAGGTCCCAGGTTCGATTCCGGCCAAGGGCATGTACCTTGGTTGCGGGCACATTCCCAGTAGGGGGTGTGCAGGAGGCAGCTGATTGATGTTTCTCTCTCATCAATGTTTCTAACTCTCTATCCCTCTCCCTTCCTCTCTGTGAAAAATCAATAAAATATATTTAAAAATATATATATGTATTTTTAGAGAAAGAAATAGGGTCTTTAAAGAGGTGTTTAAAAAAAAAAAGAGGTGTTTAAGGTAAAAGGAAGTCATTCGAGTAGGCCCTAATCCAATATAATGGTGTCCTAAAAAGAAGAGATAGGACAGACACGAAGCAGGGAAGACCATGTGAGGACATAGGAGATGACAGCTGTCTCTAAGCCATCAGTAAATGATGGTAACATATTATAGCCCATTGAATAAAACATATGTGTAGGAATATAATGGTGTAAATAAATAAATAAATGAGGAGAAGAGAAAGTTCTTCCTTACACTGGAATACCAAATAATAAAACAAAAGGAATGGCGGAGTTCGTCACCAATTGGCCACCATCAGAGTAATAACTGACTCCGCCAAGAAACAAACGATGCTAAGGTAAGTGGGTGAGAGTTTGACGAAGAACAGAATATTCACATAATATCAAAGTGCCCACACATAAAATGCTCATTAATTACACAGGGAAAAGTGACTTCACTGTGGAGCAGCCTGGCCAGCACCACTAACCAAGAATTGTTAGTAATGGGACAAATCACTGTGCCCCTGGCAGGATGAAATGAGAAGAACACAGTATCGTTTTTTATATTCTTTTTTTAAAATATATTTTTATTGATTCCAGAAAGGAAGGGAGAGGGAGAGAGATAGAAACATCAATGATGAGAATCATTGATCGGCTGCCTCCTGCACGCCCCCTACTGGGGATTGAGCTCGAAACCCAGGCATATGCCCTTGACCGGAATCGAACCTGGGACCCTTCAGCCCACAGGCCAACGCTCTATCTGCTGGGCCAAACCAGCTAGGGCTCATTTTTTTATATTCTTACCAAAGATGCATTATCTAAATCTAATCACAAGGAAACATCAGATAAACTAAACTGAAGAACTTCATACAAAGTAACTGCTTGTTGTCATCAAAAGTGCCAAGGTCCTAAAATCCAAGGGCGGACTGACAGAAGGGGACAAATGCCAAGCGGGATTCTGAATGAGGGGCGGCTGGCAAAACGGAACAGGAGGAGACTGAGGCGGGGTCTGTACCACATTCATTTCCTGACTATTGAGGGATGAAGGGGGCGATGGGTCAGCAACTCCCTTAGATCTTCCAGAAAGACATTTCTCTATTTCCTGTCAGTAAGTCTGAAATTGTTTCAGAATAATGAAGAAAAGGAGGGTGGCATTAGCGGCGTGCCAGGGTCGATACCTGACCTGTTTGTTGAGCTCTTCCATTTCGGAGCAGGCCTTCTCCTTGTCTCTCTTTAAAAGCTCAATTTCCTTCCTGTTGAAAAGCAAAATTAACAATATCACTTCGACCAGCAGTTTCTTTTTCCCCCGTCATCGCCCATGGTAACTGCATCACCTTGGATCTGTGGCCATATACCACTCTCACACCTGCTCTTGGCACCCACAGCCACCACTCTGTTTCTACTGTACATTACTGCCACTGCTGATCCAAGCGGGTCCCAATCCTCAGAACCAGCAGACGCTGCCAGTATTACAGAACAAAAGCCTCTATAACAGTGGTTCTCAACCTATGGGTTGAGACCCCTTTGGGGGTTGAACGACCCTTTCACAGGGGTCGCCTAAGACCATCGGAAAACACATATAAAATTACATATTGTTTTTGTGATTAATCACTATGCTTTAATTATGTTCAATTTGTAACAATAAAAATACATCCTGCATATCAGATACTTACATTACAATTCATAACAGTAGCAAAATTACAGTTATGAAGTAGCAACGAAAATAATTTTATGGTTGGGGGTCACCACAACATGAGGAACTGTATTAAAGGGTCACGGCGCTAGGAAGGTTGAGAACCACTGCTCTATAACATCCCTCAACTGCACCCATGAATCTCTCTCCGGCACAGCATGCGACTGTTCACTACCAACAGCATAAAGACACAAAGAGCCCTACATCCACTAAGGTCTGTTGTCAAAGGGGGGCTGGCAGAAAATGTAGGGAAAAATGGTTCCTGGGGTGAAAAACTCTTAGATTTCAGAACTGCTATAATGTGATCGCAATCACTTGTTTGCCTACCTGTTCTGGATTCCATATCTTAATTAATCATGGCAATTTAATCAAATCAGTTCCACATTCTCAGCCTTTTAGAGCTGAGCTCATCTTCAATTTCAGAGCTAAAAAAAAGGCCAATCCACTGTCCTTGGATAAGACAGGGCTATGGGAGTGAAAGCAGAAATCCACCAGAAGGTTGTCTGTGTCCGCCTCACCCCCAACAGACTCACTAAAATCAACAGGCAGAAGTGAATCTTGGAGAAAAGCATAGCTGAAACCATATCAGGACATGAGTGAACAGATTTCCTTGCCCAGAAAGGCCTCGGGGGCACCACTCACCCCTATAAAAGTACTTGCTGCTCCCCCGCCCTTAGCATAATGTGGACTATTTCTGCAGGGGTGAGAAGCATGGGACACTGACTTCAGAGGTAAGCGGGCCTGAGCTGGAGCTGCTCACTGTGGTGATGACTGTGCTGCATGCTCACACCTTCTACCCAAACTTCTGAGACCGGACTCTCGGGAAGGAAGGCGGTTGCCAGCACTTGGAAGGAGGCCTGAGCCCTCTCATGCATGTCCAGGCTGGTAGAGGTCAGCACGGCTCGCCCACTCAGGGTTTTCTGGAATGCGGGGTCGCTCTGTGAACATCTCCCACTTTCTACAGCAATACCTCTAAGCTCATTCGACAAAGAGTAACATGTGTCATAGGCTGTAAGTTCTGAGTGAACCCATGAGACAGGGCTCTTACCTTTGTGCATCATTTGTCCTTTCTGTAGATTCAAGCTCTTGCTGCATTCTCCCCAGCTCATTTTTCAATACTGTGTTTTCTTCAGAAAGCCTATCCAACTTAATTCTGCATGAAAGACAGAAAAGAGAAAGAAGACTGGAAACTCGGGCACTAGGAGCCAAATGCAGCCCACATCAGTCGGGTCTTGAAGTCGGAAGTCATGGTAGTCCTGCCGTCTACATTTCCCCTTCTCTAGATGATGGCACAGGACATACTCTTCCTTTTCCTTTCTATCCAGTTACAACATGCTACAGTTTGCATCTCCCCAGAAAGAAGCTACAGAAAGCAAAGCTTTCTTAGCTTCCAAAATGGTCACACAACCAACAACTCACTACTATATTCAGTACCTTGGTTCCATTTACTCTGTGTTTACAGCTGACCTGTTCCTGCACCTTATAAACTCTAACTGACATGTGAGTGTCTGTGGTTGGTACCAATGCACAATATTGGGTGTGAGTCCTCGGTTATTGCAGAGGATATCCGTCCTTCCACCAGTGAACTCCAGCATGGAGCTAAGAAACACAGGAACAAGAAGATCGAAACACACGGGCACATTTTCCTCCTTAGGTAGAGTACCCCCCCCTATCCTGTTCTCTGAGGCCACAGCACTGGGAGGAGAAACCTAGGAAGATGCCCACATTGATTACGGAGAGAAACCTGGTATCAGGTGAATTCTTCCAGGGAGAAAAAAGCAAGTACAAACAGCTACTATATGAACCAACTGTGTCTAAAGCCACCCCTGCCCTCTGATGACTCTAGAGTCTCTGCTTATGTAACACCATCACTGTGTGACACATGAGCAGCTTACCAGCAAATACCACAAATGAGGCGGCTAAAACCCATACTTGCTGCCCAGGGAATTTATTCCTGTTTTAAAAGCTACATTTAAAAAAAATCCTCACCTGAACATGTGAGGATTTTAAAAAAATGTTTTTATTGATTTTAGAGAGAGAGGAAGGGAGATGGAGAGAGAAGAAGAGAAAAACATTGATGAGAGAAACACTGACCCCCCTAGTGGGGATGGAGCCCACAACCTGGGCATGCGCCCGGGCCAGGAATCGAACCAGCGACTTCTTGGTGCATGGGACAATGCTCAATCCACTGAGCCACACCAGCTGGGCCAGAGACTTTATTCTTAATACATGTTGGTCTGGCTGACATTTATTACCCCCAATAGGTCTCTGTCTGGCATTAGCTTGTAATGTTTTCAATCTAAAAATACTCAAAGCCACATGGTCTCATTAATGTGACAGTTTATGTATTATGGTTATAATATCAAGTACCTCTTTCATGGCTTCATTTTATCTCACAAGGAACTAAAGAGAAATATAAAAAAATAGAAATCACTGGAATTTTAAAAGCAGCAAAGGTTTTCAAGCAGGGAAGTAAAAAAAAAAAAATGAGATCTGTGTTTTGAAACTGTCACTCTGGCTCCAGTATGGAAAACAAATTGATTCAAGGCAGGTATATGTGTGTGTAGTGGGGGAGGGGGAGGGGGGGGATAAGGGGAGGGAAGCAGGGCATCTACTTCCAGCTTCCTAGATGTCAGATAAGCTGATGGTTGCCCCATCCCATCCCCCACACACTCACCAAACAACTAGAATCTGTGTGAAGCTGATCACACAATGTGTGACTGTTCTCTCTGAAGGTTATGGAAACCACCAAGGGCCCCCAAATAAAACAAAAACCTGGAAGCTGAAACCAAAGCTGTGAGCATTAAGTAACACAAAGCTGGGGTTACCCGAGGCCAGTGCCTATGTCCGCAGCATGGAGAAACTGCACAGTGGACAAGTGCATTAAGCCAGTCCCCTAGAAGGAGGTTAACGTGGTCCCAGATTAGTAGGCCCCCAATTGTGGGCAAAAGCAATATGCATTCTTCCTGCAGAAAGCATCCTCTTCTACAGCTCTCAGGATTTCCAGAGATTAATATCACATAAACAGGAGCTCACAATCAAAAATCACCACAATATACATGGAAAAAAGCCACCTATGAGAGTCAGCAGGAGCAAAAACAACAGAATTAGACCCCATAGAAATCTTGGATATTGGAATCATCAGACAAAAAGTAAGGATAAGTATTATGGAATGTTTATATAAGTAAAAGATTGAAATTTAAAAATGAACATGAATAAATTATCAAGAGAGTCCAGACAGGACCAAACAGAGTTTATGGAAATAAAAGAAAACCACAGAATTTTTGGAAATGAAAAAAGTCAATGTTAAACACTGAATGGGTTAAATGGCAGATTAGACACAATTGAAGAAAGAATTACTAACCTTAAACACAGATATATGAAAAAAGTACCCAGAATGTGAGAGAGAAAACAGGATGGAAGATATGAAAAAGAGTTTAAGACATGGAAGAAAAGAGAAAAGTTCTAACATCATTTATTTAATTCAAGAGGGTGAGAGGAGAGGCAATAGTTTAATAGCTGAGAGGTTTTTTTAATATGTTTTTTCTTTTAATTGATTTCAGAGAGAGGAATCGAGAGGGAGAGAGAGAAATATCAACGATGAGAGAGATCGTTAATCGGCTGCCTCCTGCACGCCACCCACCAGGGATTGAGCCTACACCAGGGCATGTGCTCTAAACGGGAACCGAATCCTGACCTCCTGGTTCATAGGTCGACACAACCATTGGGCCGGGCTGAGAGTTTTTTAAGACACAAATCTATACATTTAATAGGCATAATATTTTAAGTAAGGTAAGTTAAAAGGAAACCGCATCTATTCCCTATGGCCCAACAATTCCATTTTTAGGTACATCCCAACCTACATGCTCAAAAAGACATTTACAAGAACTTTTTCAGCATTATTACTCGTGATAGATAAACACTAGAAACTACCCAAATACTCATCAATGAATACATTGTGGTTAACTCACACAACAGACTGCCATAGCAACACAAATGCACAAACTATAGGTATAAGCAAAAACCTGGATGAACCTCACAAACACATGTTGAGCCAAGAAAGACAGACACAAAAGAGCACACACTGTGTGAGTCCTTTGCATAAAGTACAAAATTTGGCAAAAGTAATCTACGCGGTTAGAAGTCAGGATGTGGGGGCTCTGCTTCTTGTTCTGGTTGCTGATAACATAGATGTGTTCAATTTGCTGACAATTCTTCTAATTGTGTATTTTTTCTTGTGTATGTAATAAAACGTTAAAAATATACAACTAGCCCCGACCGGTTTGGCTCAGTGGATAGAGCACTGAGCCATGGACTGAAAGGTCCCAGGTTCGATTCCTGTCGAGGGCACGTACCTTGGTTGCAGGCTCGATCCCCAGTAGGGGGCGTGCAGGAGGCAACTGATCAATATTTCTCTCTCATCGACGTTTCTCTCTATCCCTCTCCCTTCCTCTCTGTAAAAAATCAATAAAAATTTTTTTAAAAAATATACAGCTAAATACATAAAAGGAAAACTGCAAAATATAGAGATTTTAAAAGCAGCCATCCTGGCTGGTGTGGTTCAATGATTGGGCATCAACCTATGAACCAGGAGGTCACGGTTCGATTCCCAGTCAGGGCATATGCAGGTTCCATCCCCAGCGTGGGGGAGTGCAGGAGGCATCCGATCAATGATTCTCTCATCATTGATGTTTCTATCTTTTTTAAAAATATATATTTTTATTGATTTTAGAGAGGAAGGGAGAGGGAGAGAGAGATAGAAGCATCAATGATGAGAGAGAATCATTGATAGGTTGCCTCCTGCCTGCCCCTCACTAGGGATTGAGCCCACAACTCAAGCATGTACCCTTGACTGGAATCGAACCCGGGACCCTTCAGTCTGCAGGCGGACTGAGCCAAACCAGCCAGGGCTGATGTTTCTATCTTTGTCTCCCTCTTCCTTCCTCTCTAAAATCAATTTTAAAATATATTATTTTTTTAAAAAAAGCAGCCAGAGGACTTAACTCAGATAACCTACCATAGTAGGCAGAATAACGGACTCTAAAAGATGCCCATGTCCTAGTCCCCAGAACCTGTGACTGTTGTATTACATGGCAAAGAGGAACTAATGTTGCTAATTAGCTGACTTAGGGAGAGTATCCTGAGTGATCCAAGTGGGCCCACTGTAATCACAGGGTCCTTAAATGTGGAAGAGGGAAGCATAAGAGTTAGTGTCAGGCCCTGGCCAGTGGTCTCAGTGGTTAGAGCATCGCCCCACGTACCAGAGAGTCAGAGGTTCCACTCCCAGTCAGGAACATGTGTCTGGGTTGCAGGTTCGAGCTCCAATCCCAGTTGGGGTGTGTGCAGGAGGCAACCAATCGATGTGTCTTTCTCACATCCATGTTTCTCTCTCACCCCCTCCCCCTCCTTTCCACTCTCTGAAAAAGCTGTGGAAAAAATATCCTTGGGTGAGGATTAACAAGAGTCAGTATCAGACTGATGTGATATAAGGAGGACCTGACCAGTCATTGCTGGCTTTAAAGGTGGAAGGGGTCAGAAACCACAGGATGAGAGAATGAGAGCAGTAGCTGAAAAAGGGCAAGAAAAGGGATTCTGAAACTGTGACATCATAGACTGTGTTGTTTTAAGCCACTAGCTTTGTGGGGATGTGTTACAGCAGCAATCGGAAGCTAATACACATACAAAGGGACAACAATTAGACACAGCACAAACTATTCAATGCCAACAAAGGAATCTCGAAGATACTGAACATGTACAGCAGACAGCTCTTGAACTGTTAACCTAGATTTGTATCCCTAGGAATACTCTCTTTCAAAAATAGACACATATTTGAGACACATTCAGACAAACAAAAACTGAGGGAATTTATTCGCAGGAGAGTCTCACTAAAAGAACTTTTCCACAGGCTCCACATCAGAAAGAAAGGACATGGTCCTCTAAGGAAGGCATGAGATACAGGATGAAACAGGAGCCTCCACGTGACCAGCTGAGGAGGATGCAATATCCGCAAACAGTAATCTCACCGAATATAGTCCATCTGAATCGAGCCATGAGGAAAACAGGCACCCAAACTGAGGGCCAGTCTGCAACACACCTGGTGTTGAGTCTTTTAAAATGTGAATGTCCAAATGCCTAGAAAATACATGATCTACC